TGCATGAAGGTAGGTGGGTGGGGAGTGTGTGCATAAAAGTAGGTGGGTGGGGTTGAGTGCATGAAGGTAGGCGGGTGGGGAGAGAGTGCATATAGATATGTGAGGAGGGTGTGCATGAAGGTTGGTGGGTGGGGAGTGCGCGCATGTAGGTAGGTGGATGAGGGTCTGCATGAAAGTTGGTGGGTGAAGAGGGTCTGCATGAAAGTTGGTGGGTGAAGAGGGTCTTCATGAAGGTAGGTGGGTGAGGAGGGTCTGCATGAAGGTAGGTGGGTTAGGCAGAGAGTGCATGAAGGTAGGTGGGTGGGTGTGGAGAGAGTGCATGAAGGTAGGTGGGTGTGGAGAGAGTGCATGAAGGTAGGTGGGTGAGGAGAGAGTGCATGAAGGTAGGTGGGTGAGGAGAGAGTGCATGAAGGTAGGTGGGTGAGGAGAGAGTGCATGAAGGTAGGTGGGTGAGGAGAGAGTGCATGTAGGTAGGTGGGTGAGGAGAGTGCATGAAGGTAGGTGGGTGAGGAGAGAGTGCATGAATGTAGGTGGGTGAGGAGAGAGTTCATGAAGGTAGTGGTGAGGAGAGAGTGCATGAAGGTAGGTGGGTGAGGAGAGAGTGCATGAAGGTAGGTGGGTGAGGAGAGAGTGCATGAAGGTAGGTGGGTGTGGAGAGAGTGCATGAAGGTAGGTGGGTGTGGAGAGAGTGCATGAAGGTAGGTGGGTGAGGAGAGAGTGCATGAAGGTAGGTGGGTGAGGAGAGAGTGCATGAAGGTAGGTGGGTGAGGAGAGAGTGCATGAAGGTAGGTGGGTGAGGAGAGAGTGCATGAAGGTAGGTGGGTGAGGAGAGAGTGCATGAAGGTAGGTGGGTGAGGAGAGGGTGCATGAAGGTAGGTGGGTGAGGAGAGAGTGCATGAAGGTAGGTGGGTGTGGAGAGAGTGCATGAAGGTAGGTGGGTGTGGAGAGAGTGCATGAAGGTAGGTGGGTGTGGAGAGAGTGCATGAAGGTAGGTGGGTGAGGAGAGAGTGCATGAAGGTAGGTGGGTGTGGAGAGAGTGCATGAAGGTAGGTAGGTGAGGAGGGTCTGCATGAAGGTAGGTGGGTCGGGAGAGAGTGCATGAAGTTAGGTGGGTCGGGAGAGAGTGCACGAAGGTAGGTGGGTCGGGAGAGAGTGCATGAAGGTAGGTGGGTCGGGAGAGAGTGCATGAAGGTAGGTGGGTCGGGAGAGAGTGCATGAAGGTAGGTGGGTCGGGAGAGAGTGCATGAAGGTGGGTGGGTCGGGAGAGAGTGCATGAAGGTAGGTGGGTCGGGAGAGAGTGCATGAAGGTAGGTGAGTGGGGAGGGTGAGTGACGAGGGCGAGATTAGCGAAGCCAAACAAGTTTGAACGAAAAGGGAGTTAGCACTGGTAAGAATTTACATGACTGGAGCGAAGATCTAAGACACTGTGAGGTCTGATGAGAAATGGACTAGTAGGCCTCCTGTGGAAATAATGGTGGTTGCGTAGCTTGTCTTTAATAATTTCTCACAAAGGGATTATATTCTACTCTGTTTCTTGCTCCTCTTGTCCTTTCCAATACTTTGGTATAACCGGATATTTCCTTTTCTGAAAGAGCACAAAAGATGTGTTCGTCTTGCCGACAACACCAATAAAACTCTTTTCTGTCATGTTACTGATACCAAACATTATATTAACTGGTCCTCTAACTACCTTCACATCTTCCAGCCCTCTCACACAACTTTTCTAACACGATTCATGTTTCTGGCTTCGCTTCTGTAGATGCTTGCCATACTTAGTACACTGTCAAATGTTTTAATCCTCAGAACATTCACGACGATCTGAACTTTGCCTCCTACTCTTCCTTCCTCTTCACGTATCTTCTGCACTCACTTTGCCTTCTCTGCTTATTCTTTCTTGATGCCTTTTCTTTTCAGCTTGTGTCAGTTGGCTTACTGCAATTTTTCTCTGCCTTCTTGGCGCCAAGTCTTTGAGTGCTGAAATTTTTCAATTTCCACGTCCTTTAAATTTAATTCACTCTCAGGACTCTGTCACTAATCCTGTCCGTCGTGGAAAAGTAGTTCTCATGGATCAATCTTCTGTTTTTTGCACTTTTGCATTACTGCTACTACTACTATCACAAAAAAACTATTACTATTAATGCAACTACCTCGTTGCTGCTTTTTTTTTCTCCCTTTATCACTCATGGTTTATTTGCCACAGGTGTAACTGGTCAAGGGATTTCTGTTACCCTGCGGGTGGCCGTACGACTCCATAGGATTGATATGTCTACCCTGAGAACATAATAAATTCCATAATCATTAATTTAATGAAAATAGATTAAAATGAGTTTTTGGTGGAAGTGGCTAACTTTATTAAATACAATATCAATGTAATGGAGCGATAAGCAACCCAAGACAAGCACATCTTTAGTGACCTATAATGCCAGAATATGTGGGTTGCCAGAGATGTACAAGGGTGGTGTCTGGACCGGGCCAAGCACAGCCCCAACAACTCAGAGCTGGGTCACCATGACTTTACACGATAAAAAATGAAAAGTAAAGGAACTGAGGGGAGGCTGCCTCTAGCACTGTCCAGTTAGCTGTTCCCCGGGTGCATCTCTTGCCACGCCACGAAGTGCGAAGAGGAAACCTGTAAGAAGGCATCAGAATGAATAAAAACAAACTTCTCATCGGCTCCGCACCTCACTCAGGTTCCGACCAGGACACAGACCAACAGCTTGCAAATACTTCCGGGAGAGCGGTATCTTAAGAGCGTTGATGGAAGTGTCAGGCTTCTTCACCCTATGCTGACCCTCGTGCATCTGCCAGTGCTCAGAACCTATACACGTTCTACACATTAATCGTTCAATTTCCTTCCCATAATCATAGATCACATTCAGCAAAGGTAATAGATCCGGGTAAGGTACTTCATGAGCATTTTCTTATTCCTGGTGGACAACCCCAAAGTTTTAAGAGCACGTACGTTCTCACTGGCCCACCCATGTCTTGAGGCAGTAACATAGGTCATACTGGTTCTTGCCGCATCAACGATGCTATGGTACTGGTATCATACCATGCGCATTTGTGCTCTTGCTAGCGGCAGAGCAGAAATCTCTATGAAGAACTTGGGTGTCCAGCACATAGGCCCTTTCTCCTGTCCAAGAAATATCAGGCTTGTAGGGGCTTTCAAAAGGTATACTGTACATACTTCCCTTTCCACTTGATTCCCTCGTTGCCCTAACCATATGCAAACAAACCTGGTAATGTCATCGTCACTTTTACACAGCTTCCATGAGATCTAAAACTCAGTTGCTTGATTACAGGAGTCGCAGAGCACAGAAGTAACAAGTTTTCCTCTAGATGCTATAGATGGAGCTTCCGCTCAGACGTGAATAGCATGAATATAACCTCTTACTTAAGAGCATGGTTCCAGAGAATTTTCACTGGTTGTGAAGGTGTAGGGGCTCCTTCAGACCCTACAAGAGCATCTGAATAAAGCCACTCCTTACGAAAAGAAAAAAAAAATTTTTTTACTAAATATAAGCAAATCTCTCATAAATTATAAAACAAATATGAACTCATCCTAACTGAAGCAAATGATGGAAATATTAAATAAATACGTCAAATGAAGCAAGCCTAACATGTGCAGATATTAGAATGATGTTCCGATTCTGCCGGTGTTATTGGCAGGTCGTTCAGGAATCACTGGAGTGGAACGAGAAGCCATTTGTACCACTCTGTCGTCACAGGTGGTCGTGACTATTGTGAAGTCCAGCTCCAGAAGGTACTAACGTCAATGAAGATACACAGTTAGCAGCGTTAAGTAATGGAGTTTGGCAACAACTATAGGGAAAATCCAGAGTTCACACATGAAAAAGGTTGTAGAAATAGTAGCTCAGTCCTGCTGGTATGAGAAAAGCAGAGTTCTCAAAATAAGGACTTTGAAGAGATCGTTGACCTGAACAGAGGTAGTAGAACAGCAGAGTTCTCGTAATGATGTAGAAGTGTAGACCCAAACCTAAGTTGTAGGAACAGCAGAGTTCCCAGAATAAAGAATTATCACATTTCTGTTCTAAACCTAGATCGTGCAGCTCTTCTCGTCTTGCTTCTGTTGAGTGACCCGAACCCGAACACTTCAGCACGGCTGAGAAGAAACAAAAAGAAATCACAAACTGGACAAGAAGTCACTCCCATGATAGGTTGAAGGCTTTTGAAGGAAATGGTGATGACCAGAAACATTACGTTAATATCGTAAGTATAATCAAGTCCAGATAAACAAATTAAAATCCTAACATGTTACAGCTAACCAAGAATGGAACTCCATACGTAATTACAGACTTGATAAGAGCAGAAAGCCAAGTAACGTTTCTCAATCAGCGAGGGTCCCTTGTTAACTCCCACTTGGTGGAGTAAGGGGGGGGTAAAGGTAACGGCTCACGTACCCCTTTCAAAACAATCATACTACCTCCCCCACTCATTCAGCCTTCCATTCTTATTTAACGAGCTTTTCCCTGGCACTGATTTAACAGACAGAACATCACACGTTAACATGGAACCAATGCCACTGCAAGAATTAACTAACTCAACGACTACAAATCCTTGGTGTCAAGCCCGACGTCGGACTCTCAATTTCAACTCACCACCACTACTACTACTGCCGTTGCAACTATTACTACTGTTGCAACTACTCATATTACTAATTTTGCAACAATTGCTGCTGTTGCTGCTACCGCTACTTTTATTACCACTACTAGTCGTATATCCATCCTTTTGGGCCCTGTCCCCTATCATATTGTCTTCAGGCCTTCTCTTTTTTTTCTTGCCCTTATTGTTACTTGACTATGGTCCAGGAAAGAACGAAACCTTATCATGTGGTTTCTCTCCTAATTATGGGTAACTTGAATTTTTTAGGTCTATTCTTTTGCGGAATGTAGGTTTTCTGTGTCATATATAAGTGTGATGCTATCCCTTTAGACTTAGAGGAATTGCAGATATAAAATAATGTGTGATATGTTGTGCAGGGAGGTTCGCAGGTGCAGAACGTGACAGCTGGCATCATAATCTCTGGAGATTCTCTGGTGATACAACGAGCGCACAGAAGTCGTAGCGGCAAGTACAGCTGCCTAGCCACCAACACACTGGCTACCGTCGCCAGCAACCCCGTCACTCTCAGGATCAGATGTAAGTCCCTTCAGCTATAGCAGTTGCAGGTGTGTGTTTACATTGTAGATGCGTCCACAGCATCCTGTCTTAACCTTCATCTGTCAATTAAATGCATACATATTTATTAAGTTACCTTCTCTTTAATGCGTTCTCCCTTTCTTCTCTTTCAATAACTGAAATTCTTCAAAAGATTTAATCTAGTGTATTAGAGGCAACATTATTTTTACCTTTTAACATAATTAGTAGAGCATCATTACTGAAGATTCTTTAAGTTTATGACTACCACTAAATAAACTGGCGATTCATATTTAATGGATATTTCACCAGGTGACACTAACACATTACATTTGTGTCAAAAACCGGTTAACCGAGCGGTTAACTTAACAGATGCGGGTGATCCATTCCAGTTCCGAGTATCTGGAGATTTTTGTTTCAATTTAGTATCTTATAGTAATGCAGGTAAGACAATTGTATTTTGTGCCATTCCCTTCACACTTAAGACATAGGTCTAGGATTCTAATGATGATGTCTGATGCTCTAAATCAAAAGTTGCAATTCTGTTTTGCATTATTAAATGAAGTTAGTTGTATGTTTGAATTATTACTGCTTGCAATCTCAAAATTTTAGATTAGGAAATCATGAAATGATTTATAATTCAGAATAAGTAAATAATGTTTTTAGCTGTATGAGAAATATATATATATATATATATATATATATATATATATATATATATATATATATATATATATAAAATGTCGTGCCGAATAGGCAGAACTTGCGATCTTGGCTTAAATAGCAACGCTCATCTTGCCATATAGGACAAGTGAAAATTTGTGTATACAATAATTTCGCCAAAATCATTCTGAACCTAACGAAAAAAATATATTTCATTGTGTTTGTTTAGTATTAAATTACTGTAAAAGTTTTTAAAATATATTTAGTAGGATTAGGCTAAAATAAATTGCGCTTGTTAGAATAAGGTTAGGTAAGTTTTCTAAGATTCTTTTGGTGCAAAATTAAAAATTTTTACATAAACATCAAGGAAAAAAAATATATCTTTAAACTTATAAGCGAAGTTTTTAGAAAGAACTTAGTTTTAAATGAGTTCTAGCTGATTGACCAGTTTTACATATTCGGCACGACACACTATATATATATATATATATATATATATATATATATATATATAGGGAATATGACTCGACACTTTCATGAAAGCGAGAAGTAACAAGCTTCGTAAGGAGGACAGGGTAGCTCTCGCACCACCTCTCTCATGGGCACAACTGTACTGGCTCCAGTGGTAGTATTGAATGATGAGTACTAAGGAGCTATCCGACCATCTCACCCACATAAGACGACTATTGTACCTACAAGATTACAAAATATACGATAATCTTCTGAAAATGTATTTGTACATTCATGGCCGTGAAGGCCCCGCTGTTTCCCATAGTCTTGAAGATATTCCTTCAGGACTACGGTGCTCCTCATCAACTCCAAGACTGAGGGACTGATTACCTCATCTTTTGTATATAGTTCTACATTCTTTAGAGTATGTCCTTGTATTGATAAAGTCACTGGTTGGCGAAACATATACAAATAAAGATACCCAGATGTTGCACATGTATCTAATTCTTGACTGAGGTTGCTAGATCCGTCTGAAGTACGACGTACACAGTAACATCACTGTAGTTAGTGCAGTGTTAATCTTGAGTGAGTATAGTCACTGGACATGAAGAGTATACCAAAAACACAACCCGTATAGATGCTTCTCACGTCAGTGAACTAATTTTCATTGGCCTCATAAATTCCCATAATTAAGAGTAATTATCATATTCTTCTGTACGTTTTAATGAAGCTGTATATTTCCACAATAATACCTTATACTTCGATAAAAAAATAATAACAGTTACATATGTAATTCTGCTGGGACTCACAGACTTCTGCAGCATCTGAGAAATAAACGTACTGGGTAGAAAAACGCATTTCTGCTTTGACTAATTTTTTTTTTTAGAATAAAACGCATTTTTACTAGGTATGGAACATAATACTGCTGAGTTTGATGAATATTTATACGAGATTTAAGGTATAAACCTATTGAGTTTGATGCAAATATTATCTTATGGGCATAATGAAGATAGTTTACACAAGTGCCATTGATATTTACAACGTTTTCTCAGCAGGTGGGTTTATATCCTCTTGTATCTCCCTGGTGAAAACTTCGTGTAAAAAGGAGGACCAGCTGTTCTTTTATAACTTTAAACTCTAGCTATTTACAGTTAATATATAATTTGCTTTTAAGGCTTTAAGTTTCACCGCTGTTGTATAAATTTAGATAAAGAATTGCAAAATACGTGAATATTTGAGCGTTAAATAAAGGTTTGCTGGGATGGTTAATTGGCTGTAAAGCTTGTTAAGTTGAAAGCCTATCGAATGTATGAGATTCAGTTAATAAACGCTGCGTATCACTCTCACACCAGTTAAAAAATTGAGTTGATATTAAATTAAATTCTCAGTACATATATATACACGAGAAATATACACCTCCCGTTGTATATACTCTGTGCTTACTGATTGGCTGGTGTATTAGGTATACCCGAAGCGGAACCCTTTAGCGATTGCTTGAATTTTCTCTTTTATTTTCATCTTCCAGTTTTCCGTTTTTTCCTTGCTTATAACATGAAAATACCTTAATCGATCAGCTTCAAATTCATAACGTTGTTTTATGGTAGCTAGAGCAAGATTCTTTTAATAACTGACATGTGTAGGGGCACTACAACGAGAGCTGCAGAAGCCATTCCCATCAAAAACTTTCCTCATAATTCGAGGATGCTGGGGAGAGAGATGCAAGTGTATGGGGAAAACATCTGCTAATTTTAGGTGTGAAATAGCGAGACATTTTTGATCCTTTTAAATTCCTGTAAATATGTTGAAAATTGTATAAAATACTGACAAGTTGATCATTAAGACATATGCAGCAGTTGGGTATTTTTATTGTTGAAACGTTTCGCCTGCATAGTAGGCTTCTTCAGTCAAATAGAAAGGCAGCAGTATTTCAGGTGATTAGTCCCTCATCCTGGAGAAGAGTTCAGCTCTATGGAGTTAAACTCTTCTCCAGCTCCAGGGAGCTGAACTCTTCTCCAGGTTGAGGGACTGACCACCTCAAATACTTTTTAAAAGCTACAAAGTTGATGGACTGATTACATCATCTGCATCTGCTGACCCTGTATTTAACTGAAAAAAGCCTATTGTGCAGGTGAAACGTTTCAGCAATAAAAATACATAACCGCTGCACATGTCTTAACTTGTCGGTAAATATCTCTGAGATTAACTTTTCTGAATGGCTTACCCCTCCCAAGAAGCTCATCACTAGTAATCCCTTTCTTAAATCGCTTGTCAAAGCAACTGCTCAAGGAGAAATTTCATGCTTAACTGTTGGTAATAATTTATCACAAGTTATATACGGTGATGGATCTAAGCAGGAGTCTACTGGCAGGGCTGAATCTGCTCTTGTTGCCACCTCCCTAGTTAAAAACGAGAGGAACTTTGTTGAACTAGGCTTAAGAATTAACAATTTGCCTTCTACGCTGCAAACTGAATTGTTTGCCATGCTATTGGTGCTAAAGCTAACTTATGACACTGAGCTTAAGTCTCCGATTATTACTGATTCTATGTCATCATTGAAGACTCTCGACTCGCATAATTCTCTGACATGTTCAAAAATCCAGGAAAAATTAATGTACAATTGTTATGGATTCCGTCATACAATGGATTACCCATTCATAATAAAGTTCATAATTTTGCTAAGAAAATTACCCTGATGGAAAATGTATAATTAAACTTTGGTGTATCTAGCATTAGGGGAGAAATAATGAATCTGAATGTTATAGAACGCAGTTAGAAGCATGAGATGTATAACCCACTATAACATGAATGTAAATAACTAGGTTTTGGAGCAACTTGCAATGTGAAGAGACTGACTGATGTTGTAGTAGCCAGACTTAGGTTTGGTTACAAGGACTTCTGCCAGTTTGGCAGACACATAAATGATGATCAAGCCAAATGCAAAGTATGTGGCCAGCCCTATGGTCACTACCTTGAACATTATATGCTTAATTGTCCACTTATTGAGGAATATAGAGACAGTATAATTTCCCAAGTGATACTTTCATTAATAAGATATGTTGACATAAGATAATAGATATATTAAGCAACATTTGTAAATTTGCTTGCAACATATAAGTGAACTATAAAAGATAAATCTTGGGGCCTAGTTCTTAGGCCTTTGTATATTCACATGCTCTTTCACTACCGTCCACAGGATGGATATGAGGTGCACAATGATCTAGACGCTGCAGAGACAAAATCTAATGAATGGCTTCAATATGTAATAACTGATGCATCACAAGAAATGTAACAATCCTCTTATGATAGATGCTGTGTACTCAATAACTGGGAAATGTATCCTCTGGTAATAAATCACGGCTGCCAGGGTGACAACACTCATAAATTGCATGCTAACAGGAAGCTAGAATCCTAGTTTTTGTGCCTGCGACGTTCAGAAAAAAAAGCGTGAAAATCCGCTTGGAAGACAGTTGTAAATGGTGCATATCTCACAATTCTCTTGCATGGAGGAAAAAGCAAACCTCTACTGTTATTCTCTATTCTCAACCTTGTCAATATTTCATCAGCAAACCGAGGGAAATGACCTATTTAGAAAGAACTTTGAAATCTATATAAGAATTTAGATCTGATGCCCAATTTAAAGAACAATCCAATTTTTAATCACCTAACTGACAAGTGTTTATTTGGGCGTAAATATAATTTTTTATGTGAACAGAGATTGATCTAATCAGTAGTATAGAATGTTAGTGTTCGTTTAAGTTTCTTTCTAAAGGCTGCTTACTGGGATTCGTGAACTCACTTGCGACTTGGCAGATTGCCAGATGTTATTATATATATATATTATATATATATATATATAATATTTAAAATGTAATTAAATATATTAAATTAAT